TATAGGAAATCAGATGGGGGATTGGCATGCCCAAATTTTAAACTATATCATTGGGCATTCATATTAAGATCTCTCAGCTATTGGGTAGATGAAGATAAAATGTCATCTTGGAAGAATATGGAACAAGATTTAATAGCGCCGATAAGATTAAGGGACTTTCTCCTTTCAGGTATATCTACCAAAAAATGTGATTTACTGTACGGTCCAATTTGAACTTATATGATTAAAGTGTTCAGAGCATCAGGGACATTCCTAAACTTTAAGAGTGTGTGGTGTAGGTCATCTCCATTATGGAACAATCATAACCTATTGACTGGGGGAAAACCATTTAACAACAAAGCGGATAAAGGTATTAAAACTCTTCAGGACATTAATGGGGAAAATTGTATTCATGACTTTCAAAAACTGGTCTCTCAATATAATATTGATCAACACTCTCTCTTCTTTTACTTTAGAACAGGGGTCTGCCTGTAAAGCCTATGGGGTCCCCTGGGGGTCAGATTTGAAAGAACATCCTATTCTGAGTTGGGTGCAAAGTGCTCCCAAAAAAATAGTTTCGTTTATCTATAATAATCTTAACTCCCAGAAATGAAGCTTAGCGTAAGTTCAAGAAGGAAAACCATACCCCCTGGTGTTACACGTCACTGCAAGCTCTTCTCCCATTAAGTAATCAGGGGCGGTACTCCCCAGCTAGCAATCATTGCACCTGCTAAACCCTTTAAATCTGCTCTTCCCTCTCTGTCAGTTGTCATTTCAGGTGTCAACGCACAAGTGTACGCGTCACGGTGTTCATGGTTAAGCCAAGCAGCAGCAGGGCTTTGGCCCAGCTGAGGGCTTCGTTCCAGCTCCAGGCATTTATTCATCAGCTTCAGTCTCTTGAGAAGGCATCACTGGCATCAGGGCCGCCTAATGCAGCGCTTCCGGCTTCACGCGGAACGGGTCCTCATCACATGCGGAGTTTTACCCATTCTGGCTTCAACTACAACCCCTCCTGCAGGCAGGCAGGGCTTAAGCTATCCCATCGAAGCTATTCCTCCTGCGCTCACTTCAACAGGCGTCAGGTTAACGTTGGCAAAGGCAGTTGCAACAAATTCACGAGATGTTTCGTATATTGTTACGACATTTGGGTCATGCAGAGTGAGATCGCTACCCCTTAATAGAGGGGCGTGGCGTGTGCATGTGTGCGTGGGCATGGTATGAGCGAGCGGGATACATGTTTTTTAGAAATAAACGAGGCAGCAGGAAAGGAAGGTCTGCGATCTTGCGAAATCTATCTTGCGAAACAGGAGAGCTAAATAATGCAACGACCTCCCAAGAAGAGCTCGCCTCTCTCCAGTCTTTCCGATAAAATGGGTTATTGAACCAGAAGCGTGTTGCTTCTGCCCTGGGAGACGACAGAGAGTCAACCCCCCCCCCGTTTCCTCGACTACGGTCTGGGAGCCGACAGGAAGTTCAACACTATGCATTGCTACCTCTAGTCAGGGTTAAGGTGAGCTTCAGGCAGTGTTGGGGGTAACGTGCTACAGTATGGAGTTTCAGTAACGTATTACTTGCATTACTAATGCAGTCGGGTAATTACTCATTACAATGCTCAGTAACTAAACGCAGGTTCAAGCTTCAACACAGCGTTTCCTGAAATGAATGGCGTTTCGTAGGGCTTCTTTTCCTCAATGAACAAGTCGCTGCACATTATCCTGTTTATGACCAGATACTAAATAAATTAGGAATTCACTCCCAATATTAATTTAATGATTATTGACTAAATGATCGGTTTTCTCTTTTTCTTCTCCACTAAGAATATTCCGTTTCTTGGTGCACCAACGGCTAGATCTGCGACAACAACATCTCCTTGGCAGCAAGGCAAGTTTATTTATATAGCACTTTCAATACAAGGCAATTCAAATTGCTTTAAAAAATGAAAGACATTAAAAAATGGCATTTCAAATCAGTCATTTAAAAGGAAGCTAATAAAATAAACATTAAAAGAAAAAGTACATGGATCAAAGTACAGTGCAGTCTAAGATATGAATAGTTCAATTAAAAGCAGCGACAAAAGAAAAGTCTTCAGCCTGGATGTAAAAGTAGTCAGAGTTGCAGCGACTAAGGGCGCAACAACTAATCGACTAATCGATCAAATCGATTACCAAATTAGTTGCAACTAATTCAGTCGTCGATTCATTGTGACGTCAGCAGTGTGTTTACGTGCGTAAGCTCCAACGTTATTGGTCTTTTTATCAGTACCGGAGACATTTATAAATATATGTCATGTTTATTGCTACAAAAAACATTATATCGCAGTCTAGTGTCACAACTCGTTCTAATATGCAAAGGACAAACAAATGCGCCTATGATGTATTTTCGATCAGATGAGATCTCTCTCCCCCATCGCGAGGGGACGGGGCAGTTTACACACACAGCTGCTACATGCAGCAGAGCACACTGCGGAGGTGGCGGAGAGAACGCGCTCCGAGGTGTGGTTAACTTCACCCGCTTCGATGCGGAGAATGCTCGTTGCCAAAGTGCAATAAGAGTTTATCATGTAAGGGCGTAACACGAGCACTTTGTCTAAACATTTAGCAAAAGTGCTCCACATCCAGACGGAGGAATGCACCGGGTTCCACTGTCTTTCTAGCAGCTCCGTAGCTCCATTCACGAGTAACGTTCCCACGTCAGATGTTATGTAGGCTAGCAGCAACACACAGAGTAACTACATTATACAAACTCGGTTAATGATTAGAGGTAACTGAGTATTTATTAGTTTCAATTTCAGCTTTTCTGTTTACAGCCTGTCGACAGATTACTTAATACAATTCGGTAAATGCTCAGGGCAATCTCGATGACAAAGGTCAATGTTCCCCCCTTTCTACGCACGGAGATAATGTAATCTAATAGCGTGCAGGCCAAGGCTGGCTCTTCAAAGCAGATATTACGACGCGCTTTAATGTTCCCATCATCGTTCAGCGGAACTCTTTCAGCCTTAAGTCAAGTAGGAGAAACTATGCGTGCACCGGCTATTCGGGTAATAATATTAATAGCGTCTCTCCCCAGTTCAAATCACCCACTGCTCAGGGAGATCTCCTAATGCGTTGCCTTCACGCATCTAGCGTTCAAATACAACATTACTAAACTACAACTCTGCTCAACTGGGAAAAGAGAAGAAGAAACAGAAGAGACTCCTCCAGGAGCACAGCGTTCCTAATCATGAGGAACTACAGGCCCAGTCTCACACCGGAGTTCCTAGCCATCACATCAAGCTCATGGTATTATCGTTCCTCTAACCAACTGCGTGCATCCACATAAACGTCTTCAACGACAGTTGCTCTTCCTCACCGGGCAACCGTACTTTGCATGCGGATTCTTCGGCACGCATCATCTCCCGTTTCCTGGACGTGGCATCCGCCGGCCTCACGACGACCGTGTTTTCCCCGACTTAAGGACGTGCACCGCACATCCTCCGTTTTGGGGGGGGATATCTGCATGAGATCATTCGCATAGCGGCACACTCAGATTTCCACTATTTCTACACATTTATTATCACACTTGCTGGATCTAACACTAGCGTCCCTCCATCATCCTCACTTCAGATGATAGAAGACAGTCTTAATCACTCAATCAGCTCATCAGCATCTATGACTCATCCCGGCACACTTAACGCTAATTAAGATATACTATATCATGGGTCATGTCTCAGTATTTAACTAAGTGTACGTCTTTTCTGCGTGCATCCTGCACTTCATTCATATTCTCGGGTTCATGCTCACTTGGCTCGTGGTAAACCAGGTTACGATATTCATGCATCACCGTACTCAAGCTAACAGCTCTCGGGCATTATATCGTCTACATCTCCCTCTTCACCGGACATCGGCTCGTGCCGCCAATCAAGATCTCTTCAGTTTACCTATGGTAAATATGCATATAACTGGTAGTGGCGTCTAATAGCATATCATGGCTTTCGTTCAGACAGGTGCAGCCATTCAAGGCATATCTCCCTCCTCCCTGCCAACTCGGACGGTGGTCCTCCTCCGCCTTCATATCCCACATTCGCCCGGTGGGTGGGTGATTGGGCGATAGAGTGGGTGGGGGGTGGGCTATGGAGTGGGTGGGTAGCTGGGTGGGATGTAGGATAGAGGGATGGGATTGAATTAATCCAAAATGTTGTGCAACCTGAATTGTCTTCTGTACTGTGTTGTAAATTGAAGATGTTGCAATAAAAAATGTATGATAACAAATAAATAATCTGAGGTTATGAAATCTGCTGGTTGTAGCTAAACCTGTGGCAGAGTAAGAATATGAATTTGAATTTGAGTCCTGTGTTACCATGTTCAGGAACACTGAGGGAATTGTTTAAATAACCTTTTTAGATCAGAATAGTGAATATAACATAATGCTCAGTTCACTCCCCAGAAATAAAAATCCTAATTAGAATTTCCCAAAATGCCAAATTAAAACTTAAGTTTTAATCAGCTGAGTTTGATGTGCCTCTGCAGTGCAGTGCTGCTGTTTGTTTATTCCTCTCTATCCAAATAGATGTATTTCTTTGGATGCTTTTTAACGGATCATTACCCTATCACATGAATACACTGCTCTGTACATTATTACATAACCATAATCACATGCTTTTGCAACTTAAAATCAATTTAAGTTTAGAGACTGATGATGACACAATATTTGTTGTGTTAGTCGTCTTAAAGCTCTTGCGAGCAAGAAGTGAGGGCCATCCAGAGTAACATACAGCTTTTTAGAGAGTTCAAAGACAGCGCGACATCCTGTCATATAACAGCCCTGGACCAGGTAATGCTGTAAATCACTAAAACACATGACATTATACACTGAAGGGAATTTCCCTGAGGTGTCTTTAAGACCCCAGGTCAATGTTTGCTTGTCTTCCCACGGACCCTCATCTTGCAGTGTTATTGGATGACAATACTCACTAAAGGCTACATTTCAAACACGCATAAACCTCTTTGTTCTGTCTCCATCCCTCCTCTCTTCCTGCTTAGCCGCGTGTCTGGTGATCGGCTGTGTGGTCTTCCCTAACGGCTGGGACTCGGAGGTGGTGCGGGACATGTGTGGGGAGGACACGGGGAAGTACAGCCTGGGAAACTGCTCGGTGCGCTGGGCCTACATCCTGGCCATCATCGGCATCCTGGACGCCCTCATCCTCTCCTTCCTGGCCTTCGTGCTCGGAAACCGGCAGACTGACTTCCTGCAGGAGGAGCTGAGGGCCGAGAGCAAAGGTGGACGGTCATCTGCATTTGAATAATACTACAGGGGACAGACTGGGCAAAAAAAAGGCTGTTTCAACAGCGCATTAAGTCGTTTGCTTCTAAAGTTACAGACAGCATAAACACTGTAGTGATCACATTCACACAAATATAGACTGAACTAAACAATAATTGAAACTAATACATCAACACCAAAATGCTCTGCACACACACACACTGATGTTTCCAGTTGTTCAGTGTCATCACACTTCACTTCGCTCAATTTGGTTGCAGTTATGCTGGGTATTATTTGAGGGCTCCAACGCTAAATACTGTAATAATGAAAATACTTGTGGTAGAAGCTGTCCTTCCTGTGGAGGAGTCAGTTAAGGACAGCAATGAATGAACAATGGGGCTACATCCATCACGCCAATGTAATATAATAATAAATGAGTACTTATTATGCCTTAGATCCTTTGAATAGTAAAATGCATCACAGTCATCCTCTTCAGTCATTCCACTTTCCTCCAGTCGTGGGTATCTTGGATGGAGCTTTGAATCCAACGGGACAGTATAGTACTGGAGTAAAGTATTTAGTATGTACTAAGTATAGTAGTATAGTATCGTATATAATATTCCGCTATAAGGCCTGTATCAATAAACTTGAGAGTCAGCTGACATGTAAATAAAAGAATAAATGAATTCACTTTTTTTCTTTTTTACAGATTTTGCTGTGTCAAGGGTAAGTTCACATTGTTGTGTTTGAGTGTCTGTGTGCGCTAATGCATTTCATTTTTGAGAGCCACAACACTCAGAGTTTGATCTATTAGGACAAAAAGTATTTTTCTTTTTAAAATGGAATGCGTTATACTGTATATGTGCAAGGAATCAGCAGCAAGTGACTAATGCTCAAAAAATAGTAAACTAAATGTTTTAAATGTTTCAGTAAGCAACTTTCATTGCATGAATTTTGGAAAATATATTCCATACATCCATGGAGTACTTTATTAGAAGTGTTTTCCCACCTTTAGTTATTACCGGGGGGGGTCATCATAGCCTAGATTAGCAGTCCATGTGCTGAGAAGGCACACTGCCCAGATGCCAGTGTGTGGGTTTGAACCGGTGACAATGTGCAGCACTGAGTCAAAAGAGCAAAAAACACTTTAAGACCAACTTTGATTAAAAAAAATGAATAAAGCATGATGATCTTATTTGAAACTGCTTTCTCTCTTCAGCTTCATCATGGCTGGGTCAATATCACTATAAAGTAACTTTGGTGTCCCCATCAGAATCACTCAGTTATCATGAAAATGTAGCAGAATAATGAAACTCTGAGGTCTTATTATAAAAGGCCAAACATTTACACACATATCAGTACAATGATAAGTCTCTTGAAATGTGTTTTCTTCATTTCATACCGTATTTTTTCATTGGATGTATGTGATTTTGGCATGTCCCACACACTACTCTGCTAACTACAGTGTGTGTAATAAGTGGTTAAATCATACTACATTTAAAAAAAAAAAAAAGAATTATATGGTTTTATTGTCCACAACGAGTTATTTGATCAAAACGAGTAATTTTGATCATGTATAATCTATTTTCATAATAATATTGAACATTTTGCATGTGTCCCTCACATTTGCTGTCCACCCTGTCATTAAGGGGGTAACTGCTCCATAAAAAACCCTCTGATGTTTTCAGTGACATCACTATCACCATTTTGTCTTTCCTCAATGGAGGCTGAGACATTGGCTAGTTGCAGAGTACGTTTTTTAACTTATATTTCGAAATTTTAATCATATTATGTGTGTAGTTGGATGTTGTCAAGCTTAACATGTCCACTCTGTCATAGTGATTTGTCAATTAATATTAAAACCTTTCAGAAATTCGAAATATATCTGTTAAGGCCCTGATACACCAGGCCGAAATCGGCCGTTTTCGTTAGTCGGACGACGAAGCGTGCCCTGTCGCCCAAACTCAATTTGGTGTGTCCCGCACCGTCGGCCGTGACACGCCTTATTTGGCCTTTCATGGCTGACGCATGGCAGATTCAACATGTTAAATCGGCCATGCGTCGGCCACAGGCAGTCGGCCAAATAAATCACTCTGATCGCTTCCGCCTCTTGAGAGACTGTTGCTTGAGAATGTCTTCCACAAGCAACACTCCAATGGCTGATAGCTCCAGTGCCGCACGAAACATGTTTTCGATGGACAAGAGTGAAAATGGAACGCACACGCTATTTGTTGTTTGTTTATATCACGCAGTCTGTTCTTCTTCTCTGTCTTCCGGTTGTTGCCTCTTTTGAATGACAAATACACACTACCGCCGCCTGCTGGTAAGGAGAGTTATTGCCACTCACGCATGCGCAGTTCGTACGTGCTCGGCTGAAGTCTTTGCGGTGTGTTCCAGTCGGTTCCAGTGCGACACATGGCCAAGACGCAGGAGAACACGGCGACGCAACAGTCAGCGTCGGCGTGTTCTCTGATGACTGCTTGGTGTGTCAGGGCCTTTAAACAGTACACAGTCACCTTGCTAACTGAATCATGTTGCTAACTGAAGGTCCACCATGTGCTCATTAAATGCTAATATTAGCCAAACATTTCCACCCTGTCATTGTCCACCCTGTCAACAAAGTCTCAATCCCTGATAGTCCAATAGCAACGCTTGGTCAGGGTCCCGTGGCGTGCAGTTGTGACGCGCCGAGTCTCCTTCAGCTTCATAAATGGACGCAAAGAGCTTTCAACTGATTGCAATGTATTCCCATCGGCGGCGGTATTTGACGCTCAGGGAAGCACCGCATCGGTCCATGTCGGCGGCAGTTAAAGGCAATGTGAGCGTCCATTCCCATTGGATAACGGAGGATTTTACACCCGGAAGTAAGTATTCTCCTTACTGTAGATTGATTTTACAGTGATATCTGCACTACTCATCAACTCAAAAACACCAGATTATCCTTGTTAATTACACAACATTGATTGGTTTAAATTGTGTACAATGCTTTTGTATTTTTCCCCATCGATTCGGAGAAACAAATATTTTTTCAGAGTTTAGGATGGCCGAAGACACTACACTACCCAGAATTCTCAGCTATCGGTCCGCTTTACTCGACAAACCCCGTGATTAGTTCTCAAGCTCTGTGATTGGTTGACCTCCAACTGCATTTCATATGAAAAAAAACGTTTCGTAAAAGATAAAATCATACTTTATTGAGCAGTGCTTGCTTTACTCTTTCAAAGTCATCACATGAATGCATTGTAATAAATGGTTTGGCTGCATTAACTATTACACATCTGTCATAGTTCTTTATTTATCTACAGAGATCGGGCATCAGAATAGACCGGAAACTATTCTTTTACCGTTCTGTTTTAATTTCACAATAAAGTTAGTAGTAATATTTATTTTTGATATTATTGTTTTTTTATTAACTACTAGACAGCTGGGTCATGTTAAGACCATCTTTTCTGTGTTGCTGTGGGTTTTTTCCATCGCTTTTGTGTTACAAATATCAAAACAATAACAAAATATATCCGTCTTAAACTAAACCAGAAACAGCAGTTATTTTATTTTGTTAACACTGTAAACTTGACAGCTTTTTAACCCAAAACACCTACTGGTTAAAGCACGTTATTACACGTTTAGAGTAATTGCAATGCAGGTAGATTGTGTTGCTTTTTAATGACTGTTTAAAATGCCTTTTTCTTAATGTCTTTCATTTTTGTAAAGCACTTTTGAATGTGTTATATTTGATGAAAACATTTCAATATTAAGAGTACATACAAAATAGTGGGAAAGTAGAAGGTCAATGATATACAGTGGGGCAAAAAAGTATTTAGTCAGCCACCAATTGTGCAAGTTCTCCCACTTAAAAAGATGAGAGAGGCCTGTAATTTTCATCCTAGGTATACCTCAACTATGAGAGACAAAATGAGAAAATAAAAATCCAGAAAATCACATTGTCTGATTTTTAAAGAATTTATTTGCAAATTATGGTGGAAAATAAGTATTTGGTCAATAACAAAAGTTAATCTCAATACTTTGTTATATACCCTTTGTTGGCAATGACAGAGGTCAAACGTTTTCTGTAAGTCTTCACAAGGTTTTCACAAACTGTTGCTGGTATTTTGGCCCATTCCTCCATTCAGATCTCGTCTAGAGCAGTGATGTTTTGGGGCTGTCGCTGGGCAACACAGACTTTCAACTCCCTCCAAAGATTTTCTATGGGGTTGAGATCTGGAGACTGGCTAGGCCACTCCAGGACCTTGAAATGCTTCTTACGAAGCCACTCCTTCGTTGCCCGGGCGGTGTGTTTGGGATCATTGTCATGCTGAAAGACCCAGCCACATTTCATCTTCAATGCCCTTGCTGATGGAAGGAGGTTGTCACTCAAAATCTCACGATACATGGCCCCATTCATTCTTTCCTTTACACGGATCAGTCGTCCTGGTCCCTTTGCAGAAAAACAGCCCCAAAGTATGATGTTTCCACCCCCATGTTTCACAGTAGGTATGGTGTTCTTTGGATGCAACTCAGCATTCTTTCTCCTCCAAACACGTCTAGTTGAGTTTTTACCAAAAAGTTCTATTTTGGTTTCATCTGACCATATGACATTCTCCCAATCCTCTTCTGGATCATCTAAATGCTCTCTAGCAAACTTCAGACGGGCCTGGACATGTACTGGCTTAAGCAGGGGGACACGTCTGGCACTGCAGGATTTGAGTCCCTGGCGGCGTAGTGTGTTACTGATGGTAGCCTTTGTTACTTTGGTCCCAGCTCTCTGCAGGTCATTGACTAGGTCCCCCCGTGTGGTTCTGGGATTTTTGCTCCGTTCTTGTGATCATTTTGACCCCACGGGGTGAGATCTTGCGTGGAGCCCGAGATCGAGGGAGATTATCAGTGGTCTTGTATGTCCTCCATTTTCCAATAATTGCTCCCACAGTTGATTTCTTCACACCAAGCTGCTTACCTATTGCAGATTCAGTCTTCCCAGCCTGGTGCAGGTCTACAATTTTGTTTCTGGTGTCCTTTGACAGCTCTTTGGCCTTGGCCATAGTGGAGTTTGGAGTGTGACTGTTTGAGGTTGTGGACAGGTGTCTTTTATACTGATATCGAGTTAAAACAGGTGCCAGTAATACAGTTAACAAGTGGAGGACAGAGGAGGCTCTTAAAGAAGAAGTTACAGGTCTGTGAGAGCCAGAAATCTTGTTTGTTTGTAGGTGACCAAATACTTATTTTACCGAGGAATTTACCAATTAATTCATTAAAAATCCTACAATGTGATTTCCTGGATTCTTTCCCCCCATTCTGTCTCTCATAGTTGAAGTGTACCTAGGATGAAAATTACAGGCCTCTCATCTTTTAAGTGGGAGAACTTGCACAATTGGTGGCTGACTAAATACTTTTTTGCCCCACACTGTAAATATAGAATAGAACATATCAAGAAGATACTGTAAGTCAGGGCTTCTCAAACTCCGGACCAAGGTCCGGATCCGGACCGAACTGAAAATCAATCCGGACAGAACTCTGTGTCCCATTATATAAATAAAATCAGATTCTGATGTAAATTAATGTATATTTTCTTGTGTCTGACGCGTTGTGAGAATGAACGTGCATATATATTTACTTGTGTGCGCGAGCGTGTCACACGCATTGCAGACCGCAAGTTAACCGCAAGTTTACCTTGACTTTCTAACGCTTCGAATGCCTTTTTTGCCGAGGTTCAAGGCATTGGCTACAGACAA